AACAGGGGTTTTTCCTTGAGTGTTCTTTAGCTCCAATGGACCGACTGATGGCCGTTTTAGACCGTATTTCTCAATTTTTCCAAGAATCATCCATGTTAAGAACAGCAAAATCTTGTCAACCAACCATACTGGTAGCCACTTTAGCATTAACATTGCCAGTTCAAAACTAGACTTGCCAAGTATTTCTCGTGGCAATACATGAACCTGATGAACAAAAAACATGAGATTAGTCACATCAGAATCTAAACATTCAAATTCATTTCTTTCAGAAAAATAAAAGAATGAACTGGACATAATATGTCTATTAAACTTACCGAGCTACGAACAACCATTGAAGGCTTGGCATCATGGTTGCAAAGATCAAGAGAGACTTCCATGCCAGAATTTCCACATCCTACGACAAGAACATTCTTCCCTCGGAAATTCTCGCCGGATTTATAATCACAAGCATGAATAACTTCACCACCAAAGTTTTGCAAACCTTCAATTTCCGGCATAACACGTTCTGCATTTTCCCCTGTTGCCACCACTAGCCATTGACATATATACTCAACCTCAGACGACCTAGTGGAGCCACTAGTCGAAACAGTCTTAACTCTCCACAAACGGCAAGCCTCATCATATTTAGCCGACTCTACACATTCATTGAATTGTGGGTTGATGTTGAAGTGGCTAGCATATGATTCCAGGTAATCTATGAACTGTTTCTTGTTGGGGTACTCAGGATAGTGCTGAGGAAATGGAAAGTTAGGCAGTTGGCAGAATTGTTTAGGGAGATGAAGTTTTAGGCGATCGTAAGTGTACTTTTGCCACAAAGATGCAATGCAGTCAGCTCTGTCTAATAGCACACAAGGCACACCTTGTTCTTTTAGGCCAGCTGCCACGGCCAGGCCGGACGGACCAGCTCCGACTATGACAGGACCATTCACCCAAACACATCTGGGTGCTAAGAAACCTTGATCTGAAAACGGAAAGCTAAACATTTTTCTTCTTGTTTTTCTTCAAAAGATATGTAAATTTGGTGTTAAGGGTATAATGGAAGAGATTCAGAATAGTAGAAGAAGTTGGAGAAATTTGTAAGAGAAGACAGTTAATTTGTTTGACGAGACGTAAGGGGGATGAAGTGGCCTTAAATAGAAGAGGGGCCATGAATCAAGAAAAGTGCATGTGACCACTTAATGAGTTTAAATGTGTTTGAGCCACTTTCTTTTTGAAAAATATATTTTAGAGTAATAGATTGATGAAGAATGTGTTGTTAAAAATGAAAAAAAATTATTTGTATTTAATATTATTTTAATAAAAAAAATATATGGTTGAAAAGAAGAGAGAGAAAAATGTATTTTAGAAAAAATAGAAATTAAAGAATACCCCCCATAAAATTCTCATTATCATAACCAAAATTAGTCAGTCTACCTTGTAGTATTATTTTAAGAGCTCTATTATCATTTTTTCAGATTATTAATTCTTACTTGATTATAATAAGATTATAATTGAAGTGGGGTTTCACTTAAAACTTAGGTTACTTTTTAATTAATTTTATAGCTTTCATAATTATAGTTTTGTTTAATGGAAGATATAATAATAATAATAATAATAATAATAATAATAATAATAATAATAATAATAATAATAATAATATCAAAGGGGTTTCATGTTTCTTAATTTTCTTTGTAAACAATAATAGAAAAAATATGATGTATGCAAGTTGATTCGGGAAATCTTAACCCATTCTAACTCAGTCAATCATTATTCACCAATACAAATTTGATTATCATTTGATGACCATTTTTTCTACTTGCCCTATATAAAAATATTTGAATGAGAATATATGAGTTAACAAACATTTTTGAGATTAATATAATGGGTGAAAGACTGAGTTTCTGAGGCTAAGAATTGTGTTGAAAATGGAAATGATAATTACTTGGGCATTGGTTGGAATTACATTTAAACTCTCTAACTTCTGATTGTTAAATAATTTATAATTATTTAGTGGGATGATAAACTTTAAAATAAAATAATTATAAAATCGAGTAGCAGCAACTCTTTTTAGCTTCTTTAATATCATCATTAAAATTCAATTTTTTAACCCCAGTGAATAAAAAATTAATCCTTTACTGTCCTAAGTATGTTGGTATTCAACAATAATAAATTCTCATATATCATTCATGTTGCAAACATTTTTTTTACCATCTCTTTTTCCTTTCTTTTTCTAGGCCATTAACACATTAAATTTATGTTCTAACCTAAATATTCTAAATTTTAAGATCTAATATATGTTAATTTTATTAGACTTCCATTTTGAAAAGTTAACACTGTTAAGAGGATTGGCAAAGCCTTTATACATTGGTTTGTATTTTAATATTTGATCGAGTAAGATTTTTCATTTAATATGTCTGCGCAAGATAGAAGTTTATTTGAATAAATCTATCTTGAAATTCGCGTATTTGTTTTAATTTTAATCGGATCAAATTATTCGTTGGATCTTAATTGTCTGTGAAATCATATTAAGACCCAGTGTTCCGTCTTAAAATGTCATCTTTATTAAGAGGATTAGTTCAAATTCTTATATATCGAGATATATTTCAATATTTAACCAATGTAAAATTTATCCTTTAATATTTTTTTCCTTTTAAAATGACGAATATATTGTCTTAAATAAATATTTAATATTAATGCAGATGGGTACAAAACTGAAAGTAATTTTTACAACAATAATAAGAGCACGAGAGGATATCATTGTCATCGATGTTCATTTAAAGTATCGTATATAGACACACAATAAAGTATTTTTTTACTAAGAATCTATTTGACGTGAATTTTTTTTTAGAATGAAAAAATGAAATATTTTTTTTGGAAAGATATGTGATTAAAAAGTAGGGAAAATATTATAAATTATGCGTAAATTATTTTATTAAGAGAATATGATTGAAAGTGAGTAGAAAACACTAGTTTTAAAGAATGGGTATTAAAAGGAGTTTAAATGCTTAAATGTTAATTTTAAAACATACAGAACTTTACCAAACATATAATAGGTAACTGATGATTCTTTGAATTCATCTAAAACTAATTTTTTAAGTCTAAACAATACCCAACAAAGCCTTAACACCGTCAAAGAGAATTAGAATTATGGAGCAACTAAACTGATGCATCATCTTCTTCAGATTCTATTGGGCCACGAAAGCCTGATAGAAAATTATGAATAGTTCAATGTATATAGAGGTTGATGCTTACGTGGCAACTGAGAAAGCTGGCTTCGATAAATAATGTATAGTGGGAGTAGGGATGGGGGTTGGTCTTGTCCGAGTCCGTTACCTGCAACAAATACAAGTCCTTACTATTTTGGTAATATTTAAATTTCAAAAACATTTACGAAAGTTTCGACCAAAATATGGAAAATTTTGGTTATGAATTGCACTTAAATTTCAAGAACTCTTTTGCAAATTTCATTTGAAATTTAACGATAGATTTGATTCTTGTTATGAATTGCACTTAAATTTCGAGAACTCTTCTGCAAACTTCATTTAAAAATTAACAGTAGATTTGATCCTTATTTCGTAAATGTTTCTTATTACCATTCACGTATATATCTTATTCTTTCTAATAATATGCCACCCTTCCAAATTCCATCAATCTCTTAGAAGAATTCGAATCTCTACTGATTTTGAGTACGAGGCAAAGTATGTAAGCATGCATTTATATTTTGAATTTTTGAATATTTATTTATTTTTACTATTAAAATTTGTAAACGAAATTTTTTTAGATTGATTTTATTTTCATTAACTTCAAATAGTCTCTTAAATTAAATATTTCATTTTATAATTTTATATGACACGAAAATATGACATTTCATGTTTTCTCTTGTCCTATTTTCTTCATAAATTACATTTCACGTACAGTATTGATATTTATTCATACTGTGGATGATGACATTAAATGATAAGGTCTATAAATTGAATTTCATATTCATGTTTGTTCTTGTCCTCATTGCCTGCCAAATTAAATGAGAATCATTTTCCATGGGAATAAATACCATTCTTTTAGTTTCTTTTTCGTGTCGTGTCACATTTTCAATTTTTCATTTCCATCCAACCTAAATTATATTTAAGAGAAAACCCTTGTAAACATTTTTGTCATTGGATACCGTGATTATTAGAATGTAGGTTCTTGTAACAACATTAACAGCTTTAAGATGAAAAGGATCTGAGGACGGTGCCATTTAGAGTTTATTGAGAGGGGAGCATGTGAATCAAACCTTGGTTTTAATGGAGTCTCTCCTTTTCATGAAAGATTGCTAGCAATGGCTTTGGATTTTGCACTTTAATCTGGCACTCGCAATTCAATATTTTAAACAAGCCCTCCAATTCATGCATGGAACAAAAAAGGAATTGAAAAGGTTAATTTTTTGAAATAAAAAGAAAATGAAAGAAATGGAACAGTTGAAATATAAGAAAAATAATATTAAAAAATATACGATTATTTACTCCATGCACTATTCATATGACACGTAGCTAGGGACGTCTTCTATTTTGATTTCTTTGCTCACAATTCCCATTAGAGATTAAGCTCTAATTCCAGCCGCGCAAGTAATTTATTGAGCAGAACAAACTTAGAAACACTCCAATCAGAGCAGGCTAAGGTCCAATTTATTAAAAATATGCATGCTTTAGGCTTCGAAAACAAAGAATTTTCATGTAAAAATTAAAATTAAAATGAGAAATATATAGCCCTCTCGAATTACTTAATCTTAAATCAATTAATTTAATATGATACTTTAGTAGACTAAGATTCTAAATTCAAGATTATAATATTTTCACTAGAATAAGAAAGAACTCAAAGAAGATTACAGTGTTGATCTCTCGTTTCGATCTGTATTACCCAAAAAACAATCCTTTAACAAAAGATTAGAGTCACTTAGTGCATGTACAAAAAGATAAGCTATTAAATACAAAATATATCTAAAAATTTTGTGATAAGTCGAGTATTACTCTTATTCTCCTGCTCACGGTGGAATGCTTATCTTATCCACTTTTGAGAGAACCTTACTTGATGAGAACCTTAAGTAATGTTCTCGTGCCACATCAACAAGTGAGCAATCTTATTTTGCACATTGTGAACATAAGAACAATTTTTAGTCGAGTATATAACATGATTAAATTCTAATGAATTTTCAACACCTATTGATATATATTTCCCAGCTACCTAGCCTTGTTGAGAGCTTACTACTTGAGGACCAGGTTGTATTATTTATTCCCTGCTTGACAATCATTATTTGGAAAAAAAAAAATAATCTGAATAATGATTTTTAGGAGAATATGTGGTTAAAAAGTAGGAATAAGTTATAGCTTTACGTACAAAATATTTTATTTTGTGAATGCGTGGTTGAAAATGAATATGTAAAAAGAAAAAAAAAAGAAGATTTTCAAATAATGATTGTCGAACTCGGGCTAGCTCTTCTTTATTTTGCGAGGGTTTCAACTATACCTTGTATGGCCGACTATGCTAGTAGCTAAAAATGAAGCAAGTGCATCTCGTAATAATATATGATAAGTGCGTTTTATACACTTATTTTGGTCACAAAACTTGAATAGTTGTTGATAAATATGACGAAATATGGTTTACTTCCATGTAAATTATATTATGGAGGACAACATTGATGAATGTGGTGGAAATAAGGAGAAACAAGCGAAAAAAGATCAAAATGGAAGAAAACAAAGTTTAGGGACCAAAATGCAAATAATCGAAAGATGACCCGAAAGTAGAAATGAAGATTTGAAAGAGTCAATGACCAATTTAATTAAGACATGAAATATTGGAAGAAGAGAAAATAAGAAAAGAGGTCAAGAAATGAGAAAACGGAGTTTGAGGACTTAAACATAACTTTGGGAATGTTGTTAACACTACGCGGTCGCATACCCATTTTCAGCAAACTTTAGTGCTAAGTTCCCTATGCTATAGCATTGATTGGGAAAATTTTGATTTCCTTATTTGATTAAAATTCATATAGAAACAAATATTGGGAAGACTTTTAAAATCATAGGATCATCCATAAGTGATTATGACATATTCCAACACGTTTCTAAGA